TAGGTCTTTAGATCATATGGGAAAGTTTTACAATCTCAAAGTTTTTTGTTTCGTTATTTATTTACACATTTATTAATTTATTATAAAAACACCAGCATCTGGTTGGAGTTGACAGGGTTGTAGGTAAGAAAGATACTGTGCTAGGGAAGGTATTGTTTGTGAAGCTTCAGTTTCCAGTGCTAGATGAAGCTTGAGTATGGACTCTCTCATGCTGCTTGAGGTAAGCCACTCTGGAAAAGTTCTTGTTGCACTTGGCACAGGGGTAGGTCCGTTCCCCACTGTGCTTTCTTTGGTGTCTGCGCAGGTCTGAAGAGCGGAAGAATTTCCATGGGCATCCAGGCTTATTGCACACATAGGGCTTCTCCCCAGTGTGCTTCCTCCTGTGGTCTAAGAGGTGGTGAGACTTTGTGTAAGTTTTCCCACAGCCCTGGTACAGACAGGAGAAGATCTTCAAACTGTCAGCCTTCACCTGGGTCCCATGGCCCTGGGTATGGAGGTCTGACTCTGTCTGTGGCAGTTGTCTCTGGACTGAAGGGGAAGCTGAAAAGCTTTCCAGAGGTTGCCTTTGGGCCAAAAGGGAACTTGAAGGATGTGGGGATCCACCCACATAGGGACATTGGCTACTAAGTGACATCATCTGAGGTTCTAGGCTTTCTTCAACATTGGCTGGTCCCTTCTGATCTGGGTGGAACTTCTGGTGGACAGAGGTCTTCATCTGGCTCCAGTAGAAAGGCTGTTCACAAGGGGAAGTTGTCTGGAGATACTGAAGCGAAAGATTTTCTACTGTACTGGGGTTTGCCCACTTGCTCCCATGAAGAGCTGGGCTCAAACCAGGGTTTGGCATCTGAAGGTCACAGGGAGCCTGACCACCATTTAGCCTTGTCATCTGGGAATCCACAGGGACATTCTGGCCATCTCTGTCACCTGATGCTTGGTACCCACAAAGAGTGTATTCACCACCCTGGGTCTGACCTCTGTAGACATTCTGACCAGTGGAGGATGTCATCAGACCAGAGTAGTCTACCTGGTCACAGGTGTCTGTCATCTGAGGCTCAAATAAAGCCTGGTGTCCATTGTGGGCTATCATCTGATCCCCATAGAACAACTCATCAGCTACGGGGCTCCTCTGCTCATCCCCAAAATGAGCCTGGTCAGAAAAAAAGGTAATGATTCCACTGGGTTGAAGGTTCTGGTTACAACTGGGTGCTGTCATCTGACTTTCATAGAGAACTTGCCCTCCATTCCTGGTTTTCACCTGACTGTAGGAGGTGTGGTCACCATTGACAGGCATCCCCATGTCACCACTGAAGGTCTGGTCACATGCCCAGGCCATTCGATGATCCTCATTTGGGCTCTGGTCAGCAGGCCTTCCACAGAGAGCAACTTGGCTGTCACCAAGGGTAATCCTCTGACTCTCATTCTGGGCTGTACTGAAGGTCACCAGGGTGTTGTTGGCACTCAGGGTCTTCATCCAGCAGCCTTCCTCTTGGACGGTGTTCTGGGTGTCCGGTATTGCTGATCTCTGGGCATTTGGGAGGCATATGTCCTGGGTGTCCTCGAGCTCTATCAGCTGAGCGCCTGCTGGCCACAGTGTCTGGTCAGCACACAGGACATGCTGGTTCACAGAAACAGTCTCACTTGACTCTACACAGTGGAATCCAATGGCTGTTCCAGGGTGGGCTCTGGAGTTCTGGGTGGAGGCTCTCTCAGGCATGCTACAATATGCAGATGTCAGCACTGTTTGGTTCCTGGTAGGCATCTTCTGGCTCTGAGCTGAAACAAGCTGGCTGTACTCCACGGGGGACATCTGGGGAGTGCAGTGGCCTGGCTGAGAAGCACCTGGGCTTCTCTCCTGCTCCTTATAATCTCTACACAAGGCCTGGATGAGCTCATCAAATTCCTCAACTGTTGGGGGAAAGGA